ATCTCCATCTCTCTTTGCATCGATTACGTCACACGCGTCTCTCGCTCTTACACACACATACACATCTTTACATGAAATATTAATTATTTCCCAAATCTAAGTATATTTTCCTATCTTCAATATGATAATGACGATTACATTCTACGGAAATCAAAAATAAAAAATGCTGTCAAGTATAATGAATGAGTCAACCGGCAACGCTACATTGCCCCATGAACAATGATTTATTGTACAACTGGCAACGCCGAACCTGCCATCTGGCATGTATTGACATTTGACAGATGCAGTCTTATGAGTCTAGTGTTTACAGTGTCTTTCTTCAACCAATAGATAGTTCAGCTAGTGACTCATAGATGACTCTGTGTGTTCTATGACTTTTGTTGTTTCCATATACTTTTGTATCGATGAATCGAGCGCCTATTTTTGTGCGGTTACTGATTACAGGACATGAAACAATTCTGTACGATAAATTATTAAAATGAATCTCTCAATATACGCAAAGCCACATACATTTGTGCATCGATCACGTCACACGCGCCTCTCGCTCTTACACACACACACATGCACATCTTTACATGAAATATTAATCATTTCTCAAATCTAAGTATATTTTCCTATCGTCAATATGATAATGACGATTACAATCTACGGAAATAAAAAAAATGCTGTCAAGTATAATGAATGAGTCAATTTCGGTCCCGACAAAACTAACGCAAAAATAAAAATGCTGTCAAGTATAATGAATGAGTCAATTTCGGTCCCGACAAAACTAACGCTATAAATACCCAACATTCGCAGTTAACTTCAATATCTTACGGTGGTGTAGAGGCTAAGGACAATGTCTACCGCGAGGACGTCGTGGGTTCCAATCTCATAACTATAAACTTTTTTTAATTAAAATCACGTGACTGGAACGTGACAAGGGGGCTGAGGGGTGAGGAAGAGTCGCAAGAGGGCCTGAGCGGTGATGCGAAGTCCCAAGGGGCCGAGTTCTATGCTTGAATCGCTACGATACTCGTTCCATCCGGCGTCGATGACGTTTCCCCCACTCCCAAGTGGTCCAGAATCGGTGTTGTTCATCTACTATCCAAATAACCTTTTTTGGAGCCTACTTTCCATTTATATGTTCCAGATAATCTACTATAAATAGCAAATATATCTTTTCTTAGATTCTGTCATCAATGACGAAAAACATTAGAATTTCATTCGATTGATACACTCATAATTGTGGAATTGGCCGCGGTGGTAGTGCGTCCGACTCACGATCGGAAGGTCGTGTGTTCGATTCCCGCTTCGACCAGATATTTTTCTCGAGAGAATTTATCTGGTTGAAGCTGGAATGATTCTGCAACCGTGTTAGGAATCACACGTTGAAAGGTAAGACCTCGTTAGTCCTTAGCTCGCACACGTTTCTCAACTTCTGAGAGTTGTCGTTCGTATGGGGGCGGCAGCTGATTAACGGAAAAACAGATTTTAAACAGATTTTAAACAGATTTTAAACAGAGATTTAAACAGAGATAATCAGCAAACTAGGCAACCCAAAACCAAGAAATCTGTATTTCATACTGAAGTTTTGATTTACAACAATCAACCCAATAATATAAAAAAATATTTCAGAAAAACGATTCAAAACAAAATGAAATAAACGTTTGCTAAACTACCTACCTTTTTTGTCTCTCATCAAATTCTGCTTCAGTCTATGTAGTATCTATATTTGTTTGTATTTTTCAATTGATCAAGATCCTTACTATAAACACTTAATGTTTAGTGGGGCCAATAAAGATTATTGTTATCAATATTTATATATTCTCTAGATGCATGCAGTGGGAAGAAATTTATGGAGTTTGTTGGTGATGTTCCTCTGGAAAAATGTCACAAAAACATGAGATTATGTCATCTTCACTTTGATGAGAAATATTTTACATCAACCAGAGAAAAACGCCTAAATAAAGATGCAATCCCCACAATTATTTCAGGTAAGAATAACGGTTCTCAATATATCGAACAACGTAACGACCTTGGAAATTCCTTCAATTCAGTCACAGGAGGTTATAATTCTATTATTATATAAGACAATCTCCCCAAATATGAACAGTTTTTGGGCTACCTGCCATAATTGCTAATGACTATTGAGATCTATAAGGTCAAGGAATTTTCGAGAGCCACATTTTCATTTATGACTGGAAGTATTCTAGGGAAAAATATTCATACTGAAGTTAAAAATTATATTTTCAACAGTTGATATATCCACGACATCGGGAAATGCTCATACAAGTGGAGACGTGAAACCCATACGTCAGAGTGAACTTGAAGAAGAATCAGAAATCTGTATAAACGAGGAATCTTTCGATAAGGAAATTGATATGGATTCATTATCGATGGAACTTGAATTAGATGAGGAAGCTCCAAGTTTGGAATAAGCTTACAAAGATGAAGATGAGGCAGTGTCAAATACTGATTATTCTCACTCATTTGATGGAGGTATGATTTTCTTCCGTTTTTCACGACATGCAAATAACTATTTTTTTTTATATTTGAAGATCCATTTGCATCTGGAAATTATTTTTGTGTGTGTGTGATTCTCACATCTGAAAGAGTTTTTTTAAATTTTCGATGAAATTTTTCATTTTCATATCAATAGGCAACTTGAAACCCAACTACAATAATTGACCAAATGCAAATAATTTATGTTATCTTCAGATACGGGAATGTTGATAATGCTTAATATAAGTATCGTTATTAGGAAAATGTATCTATTTATATAGACTAATTATATATAGCATTTGTTGCAAGTGTTTTTTTAAATTCTTTGTTGTTATTTCAGATAAATCAAGGTCTGTTAAAGTGCAAACTTCTAGTCACTTATCATATCACTCCCCTCGGAAGACTCAGCTGAGGAACAGAAAACCTATTTTAACAAAGAGTTATATTGAGAAAAAACAGAAGGAACACAAGTTTAGTAAAAATTTGAACTTGACTGATGCCACTAAATTCATAGAGAAACACTGTTCCGAAACAGTTGCCAGTTTTATGAAGTTTCAATTAACGGAATCGCAGAAAAACACTAAAGGGGTCAGATTTTAAGATAGTATGAAACAATTTTCACTGGCAGCCTTCTTATTAGGACCAAAGTGTTATAAATATCTATCCAAATATTCCAAGCTACCCTCCAGGTCCACACTGCAGAGGATCCACCAGAAAATGCCCTATTGATGCAGGATACAATGAATTTATTTTTGATGTCATCCAACTAAAAATCAATAACTTCAGTAATCAAGATGAGGATTGCAACATTTGTTTCGATTAAATGAGCATCAAGTTCCACTTATTCTACAATATAGGAAAGGATAGTTGGTTTTGAGGAATTATTCAACAAGAAAACTACTTCTATAGCAGAATATGCCTTGGTAGTCATGGCAAAAAGCATACATTCGAACTGGAAGTAGCGTGTTGCATACTTTTTTACCGATTCATCAACATCGATACTGAATATAAAAAGTATTGTGATTGAAGCTGTTAGGCAATTATCAAAAATTGGATTGAGAGTTAGGCTGAAATGTAACAGAAACCATTTTTTCGATGACTTTTTGAAATTTGATGAATATACAACGAACAAAAGTCATCTTGAACAACTTTACAACTTGGATAAGAAAAAGTAATATAGACTAGCACCCAAACTTACTGATTCTCATTTATTTCCAAATAACTTTCAAAGGATGAAGATTAAATAAGCCAGTCAAGTTTTCAGTTATTCAGTAGCTACAGTATGCCAGTTTCAATCAGATACCATCAGCAGCAATAGGAACGGCTACATTAATTGAAAAAATGGATAAAGTGTTTGATATTTTAAATTCAAATAGATTTGACGATGTGAAAGATTTCAATAAACCTCTTTTTGGAACATCAAAACAAATTGATTTGTTGAAAGAAATGAAAATATTTTTCAACAAATTATCTGTAATATCGAAAAAAGGAAAAAACACGACTGGACAAATGAGATTCATTGAGGGGTGGCAGATAACAATTTTGGCATTTCTGCAACTTTGTTGAAACCTACATAGTAAAGGACACTCCTACATATTGACGAAAAATATAAATCAGGACTATGTGGAAAATTATTTTAGTCTACTTAGATATACTTGTGGAAATGCCAGGAACCCAACTCCTATTCTAATTATAAGAGCTTTCAAAAACACATTTACTCTTCAATATTTCACACAGGTAGAAGGAACTAACTGTCTAGAAGATACTAGTGAGATTAGTATTACAGATGTGGAAGTCCCAAAAAATCCCTATAAACATTCGATAGTATAGAAAATGTTTATAGGAAATGAGAAAATGTTTAAGGAAACATTCATGTGAAGTATGTACAAATTTTGCCACGGCGGCTAGTACCACACTGAATGAAACAAATGTATATAGTCATTTCAAGGCATATAGTAGTACAGTAGCCAAACAGTTTGGAAGTTTATATATGCCTCCAGATTCATTTTTACAATGTATCATTCATCTAGAGACAGAATTTATTAATCATTTCAACAATTTATGTGCCACTGATTGCATAGGCAACCAGCTCAAAACAATGTTTTCATATAACAACATTTCTCACCCTTGTGATAATTCTCCTTTGGGTTATTTTTTTTCACAAGGATAAGAATTCATTATACTTTGAAATTTGCCAATAGAAATTTGAAAACAAATGTTCAAAAAAGAAATCAAAAACTCATCATTCTAAAAAACCTTTAAAATATATTAGCATAAGTTTTTGTCCTAAATTGTATAATCTTACCATATAAAATATACGTTTATTTCACCACCTTGTCTTATTTTTCATCAATTCCTAAACAGTTCACAATCATATGAGACATTTATTGGGAGCTCCTCGTAGCAATGATGAAGTCAGATCATGGTCACATATTTTTTGATCGAACCTCGTGCAGAGGTGCACAACAGCTCCTAGCCGACACCCTCATGCCCCGCCACATGCCAGCAAAAAATAAAATCTCGACCCGAAACATCAAAGAGACCGACGGGAGTGAATTTACTTCTGTTTACTTATGTACGGTGCTTCCACTGGCTAGTTCTACACACTACCCTGCCTTCAATTGTTGGGTCCACACATAATTTTACATTTACCGGCGTCATTTCTTTATCATTTGGAATGTTTACCTTCAAAATTGAATTTAAAGATTGAACTAGGGGGTGAATACGTTCATACCTTTTCTCCTCTACTTCTTTATCTGAGATCAAAAATATAGTTTTTTAGACAAGAGATAATTGGCAAGGTTGAGGATAAAAAAAGCTTCCGTCGGACAATCAGGAACAAATCGTGAATACACACTTCGTACCATTTCTTTCGCTCATACTACCAATAATATATTCATTATTTTTGGGAAAGTTTTTGGCTTTCTGCTACTCCATCGTGATACAAAAAATGTGGGAATCGTCCAAAGAAAGAAAGGAAGCAACCAATTTCAAAAGAAGTAACTCTATACATAGATATGTAGATCATGAAGAGAAGTAACTTACGGACACAAACTGGAAGAAAGTCACGGAATAAGTTTGATATATTTATGTCATTGATGATATCGTAATGACATTCATTCACCTATTTGATTGAATCCCAACCAAGAGGAATTTTATTTGAATTGAAGGGGTTATATTTTTAGGAGTGATTAATTTTTGGGACGGAAAGCTTTTGGCTTTCTACTTCTCCATCTTGATACAAAAAATGTGGGAATCTTTCAAAGAAAGGAAGGAAGTAATTTGAAAATAAGTAACTCTATACATGGATGTATAGATCATGCAAAGAAGTAACTTTCAGACACAAACTGGAAGAAAGCCTACCTGAAACAGCTACTTTCATATAAACATTGAATTACACGAAAGAAAAAAATTCTTTCGAAACAAATACTTTTGTATGAACACTGAATTATACAGAAGATACTTTTCTCTGCTCAGTTTGTATTCCAAACATTCGTTATGGAATAAAATCAGATATCATTCACAGGAGTTCTACTTTGAATGAATGGTAACAAATTGCACTTACATGGAACACTGTCATCCTCACTGGTAGACATCGATGTTTCGCCGTAAGGCACTTGCCTTAGGGCTCTTCAGTACCAAGTACCAATCTGGATGACATTATAGAAAATACACACAATTCATTCATGAATTACGATTTTTTTTTCAAATTAATTCCTTCCTTTCTTTGGAAGATCCCCACATTTTTGTATCAACATGGAGTAGTAGAAAGCCAAAAACTTCCCCAAAAATTAATCATCCCTAAAAATATAACTCCTTCAATTCATATATTTATTACTTTATCAATTTGAGTGCTTGACCTTCAAACGTTCTTCAGAGACTTAATCAAGGCGATCGTATCCGTTCCTTCAAAAACAAAAAATATAGGAAGGTTTTCGTTTCGAAAACTGACCTTAAATTTCGAATAATAACCTGGCACTATTTCAAATCGTTGGATTGCTATATTCTCAAAGTAGCGCATGAGGCCGTTGAAATAACTAAAACAAAGCACCACACACTGATATTTCAACATCAATAACCGAGAAGTGCCGATAGGATTATAGCCTCTATGAATAGCCTATATGAACAAGAATTGGTATATATACTTCAATTGTGCTACTGGTCTTAAGAATGGTTTTCTTTCGATTGTCATTTTGCAGATCTTGCGATGTGAAATTGTTGGGAAAAATTTATATTTTGAATTTAATTGTCAATATTGGTATCATCACTATTGTATTCCACCTTGGCACAGTTATACAGACTGCTTAGATATCGCTAATTATTCAATGTGTGGTTTTCTCTTTAGTTTGTAAAAACTAAAGCCTAAAGGTTATAGTTGTTTTTTGTAAGTGCTCTGAGAGAGAATGACCTGAACTATATTATGGTTCCAATGAATAAAAAACATGATTCCACCAATAATCCCTGTGATCAAAATCATCCAAACTCAAGAATGGAAAACTGCATTAAACATCCTAAGGAACTCAAAGACATTAGACCAATTAGTATTATTTGCACTGCTTGTGAACCACTCAACCAATTAGACAATGGGAGTCCAAACTAGTAAAATTCACCATTTATTGATATCCAAAACTATTATATATGAAGCAATGTTTTGTTAACTTTACTTTTTCATCTTAAACTTCCGATAAAAACCCGATGTAACACATACTACATATTTGCGTAACTCGTTGTAGGTTACTTCTCCGGGAAAGAAATTCCGAAAAATATCTTGATTGCTGTGGAAGATCCTAGACGAAATATACATTTCAGTGGTTGAAAACTGTCCTGGTGAAATTTTCATCAAATGTATCTGAAAATGAAACTATTTTCAATAAATTGTGCATGCATGATCAATTTTTACAGATTTCCTTGAGAATAAGAAGGAGAAACACAATGCTGAAATGCAGAGAAATGCAGATACAAAACAGGGTTTTTTTCCTATCGCGAAAGGGTCAAACAGATGCAACATTGTCTGTCCGATAGAAGTTATTTTCTCACATTCAGGCGGCACAAATCAACAGCAGTCGCACGTATCACAGTATGCTGCAACTACAACTACGAGGCCGAATCCGAATACACAGGTAACATGTCGTGAAATTCAAAATTTTAAAATATTCAACCCACGATACACTCATAACGGTATGCCGACGCGCATCTCTCTGTCCTGACGTCACTGCGAAGCACGGAGCCGGACAACGCACAATTCATTAGAAGGAGAATGAGATTCGGTCGAATATCTCCAGGCATTTTCGCATAATGGAGTTATTAGTCTTGATGCATAAATACATACATGTTGATTTTTTCAGAAGTAGGTATATTCGTTTCCTGAGTCTACTGAATACTAAAATTATGAGTCATTTTCTCACCCTATTGATGAAACCGAGGGTGATACATACTGTGATGATATTTCCGACTTTTGACAATATTTTTGACAAATTCAATCGGCTAGGTAATAAAATACATATTTTTTGAAGTACTTTTGTTTTCAAAAAAGATAAATTGCACATGGGTCAAATTTTCCATATTCTAATTATTTGAAGTAACAAGACATATGACAACGAACTACAAAATGAGATAGAAGCTATTTTGGTAATTCATCAAGTTTTCTTTCATTAATTTACGAACTTATTAATTTTTTTTCCATCCTGTTTTTCAAATTATGGAAACTTATTTGTTTGTTAATCTCCCGCAATCTTATATAGGTCCTTGTTCTGCACAAACAATGTAATGCATCGTATGGTATTGGGTTTTCTATCTTTCCTATGATTCTTTGCGTTGAAGTTTTGAAGATGCCTTTTTCTCTGGATAATGTATTTCCATGCATTTTCTGAAATTCGGTTTCCATTATTTGTGCCGCTTGAAGGAATGAGTTATTGGGTCTTAGAAGACCTCCCCTTGATATGAATTGCAACCAATCTAAATCTTTGGAAGAAGCTGGAAGAACAAATTATATTTTTTCTTGAATTTATGAGCCACATAACCCGCTATATAAGTTAATGAGTCATTGTTTATTTTTTCTCTCAATCCGAGTAACTCCAACGCCTCTTGCGACATATCTGGTCCATTAGTGTGACATTTTTCATAACATGGATTTATAAAGGAATAAGGAATAAAATTTTCTCTATCTTGGAATTCCCGGGAGTTTTCCAGACATTCCGCTCCCGTTGATATATTCCCAAACATATCAGCAGTAATGCAGTTTAACTCTTCAAACTAGGATGTTCTGAAGTTTGTTCTAGTTAAACATTGCTCTCCGGTTTCTTCGGTATTCCTGTTCTCAGTGAAAACTGATGCTGAGTGTTTTCCCAAAATGAACCAACGCATTCTATAAATGAAATCCAGAGGATTTGGATGATCATTAGATGACCCCATCCCTCTCATGTAAGAAAAGAATTTTTCCAGAATATCCTGATTCAGTCGCGTAGTAAGAATATATTGGACATCAGAGTGCCTCTTCTGAAGATGAAGGAAGAGCTCAACAATTGATCTATTACTCAAAAGTATACCTTTCTGAAACTGAATGAAGGATTTATGTTTTCCCACTCGTAGTGTTTTAATCACATTGGAAGTTTTTTCTAGTACTTTTTTCTGATCCTCTAAATTTATACCAAATGCGTTTTTAGATGGTTCGTTAGCCCTTATTTTCGTTTTCGAATTCATAACGTCAAACCATCTGTTAATGAGCTGAACGAAGTCTGATACTTGTTCCCAGGGTAACTCTGATAACATTAATCCGCTTTTTCCACAATATGAAACTGCCTTCGAAACATAATTAGAGAACAGTTGCACTGCTGGCCTAACTTTTTGCCTTTCAGTTCCCTTCAATTCGATATGGTACTTGCTGACTTTATGTACTATAGAAAGCTCTGATGTAGATATATCCAGGAGACTTTCGAAACGAGATTTATCCATAAATGTACCATTTAACCAAAATCCTTGATCAATGAAGTGATTTCTCAACAACTTGACTAGATGAGGTACATCGACAAACAAAAAAATCCTCATAGATTCATTACAAGGATGTGGGAATGAACAATTTTTATCGTGAGCAATATTCATTTCCGAGAAATATTTCATATTCGTAGGACCCATGTCACTTACTATGGCTACCACGGTGAAACCGGCATTGAATGATGCAGATATAATTTGGTTTGAAATTTCTTTTTTCATTGGCTGATCAAAATCATAAAACACTGGTTGCTTCCAGTTACTAATCATTATTTGATGGGTTAAAATAATTTTTATTGTTCGAAGGTACGTATCGGTCAGCGCGTGCGAGATGCGAATCGCCCGTTTTTAGCTCTATTTTCGTCTCTGAATTAAATATATAATTATTGGTGACAAAGTTCCGAGAGGTAGGATCTTCCTTCAAATTTCGGATATCTTTAATATTTTCCGAGATATTTGCAAAAAACCAAGCCCCCTTTTTTGTGTACTAAATTGCTTATGACTTTTGTATTTATTCGAGCCCCTCTTGAAATTTTTCAAAAAGTTGCTAGAGGCCATTCCGAATCGAATAAGCCCTGGATCATAATTTTCGGTGCCCTTGGACAGAAGTTCCAAAAAAAGGATCTTTTTTCATCCGAATTGAAAATGTCGTATTAGAACAGTGACAGTGATTGGAATTGTGAGAATGATATATAACTAGGCCTAGAGAGTCACGTATGATATAATAATAATTACATCCAGATGTAAATTTCATGGCTATCAGTTTTATTTCTGTTAGTTTCATCGCTCTTTGATAGAAGTGTTTTATCGCTGTAAAACTCTGTTTTGGTGGTTTGAAGGAAATAATCGTATTGAAACCATCGTATTTCACCAACAAATACCTTCGTAAATCTTAAAAATAGTGGCATGACAACATCGAGAACTAATGACTAATTCATGACTATTATATATGGAGAGTCGAAGTTAGTGTTAATGAATTAATATCATTCATTTCTTGATGACGCTAACTTGATTGGTCAAAGGATATTGAGAAGATTGTTGCAGAGTAACGAGATCCTCAACAAATAATGGTCATATTTCAAATATCAATTGAAAATTAAACGTTGGGATTTCTAAACGGTTTTATTTAGCTTGCCCTGTTTGTTTGAGGGTCAAATTTGACTCCCTTCCTGTTGACAGATTGATCTAAAATTTGGTAAACAAATTCAGTTTTGATGACAATACGATTCAATAGATTCTACATCATTGTAAATCCAAGATGGTCGCAGATACAAAATGACGAATTACATATTGTTTCACAACTACCACAATATGGGTATCAAATGACAGGGCTTGACTAGTAGAATAGTTCTACACTTTGAAAAAGATGCAAATTCAAAATGGCACCAGCTGCAAAATGGTGGATTACATATTTTTTCACAATTACTTCAATATGATAGGGCTTGACTAGTAGAATAGTAGTATCTTTTGTAGTCAATTTTGAAGGTATTGTTTCACAACTACCTCAATATGGGTATCAAATGCAAATTCAAGATGGCCCCAATTACTAAATGGCAGATCACATATTACCTTGCAATACTGGGGCACTAAATGAACTAAGTAGAATGAGAAGAATTGAGTAACAAAATTAGAAACTAAAAACTTGAGAATA